TCACGGGAGCTATCTTATGATCCCGGTATTCTTCTCGTCTCAGGTTTGCCCCACCCATCCGCAGAATGCACCGAAGCTCGCTGAGCAAGAGCTTGTCGTCCTCCAGGGCGGCTTCGTTTGCAAGGAAGCATACTATATCTGGCATGGAATTGTCACGGCTTCGTAAGGTAAAACCGGATCGCCAGTGGATCTTTGATGAATCGACGTGCTGATCAATACTCTTCCTAATTTTCGAGTTAGTTTATTTAGGCGCCAATTCCCACAATTTCTCACAAATATGTCTAAAGATCACTTACTGGTCAACCTTCCATGAGCTAGTACGCTCTAGTAATGTTTTGCTTGACAGATCTGGGGCATTGCCCTGTTGGTCGAATAAGTTGAGGTAAAAAAGTCCTAGAAAACACGCAGTGTGCCAATTCCCGGGACTGTATTCGCTACTGGGAATGTTGATCTCACCCTTGATCAACTCGTTCGCTTCGACGATCACATTCATCTCATCTCGTGATTTGGGTTCAAGAACCTTGAGACCTTCATCTTTAGGTATCCCGTTGCCGACGTCAATCTCAGTACACCAAACGTGAAGCTGAGAAAGATCGTTCCTATCGAGATATGTGGTCGTCGGCATCTTGAGGCGAAGGTATTTCGATCCCTCCCAAGAAAGGGTGATTGCTGGATGCCTGAAAGCCTGGACCGGCTTGGAGCCCTTGACTTGAATGGGATATGACATTGTGAAAGATGCTTTTATGGGACATACAATAGACGTTGTATAAAGGGTAGATTTGCAAGATAAAATGCAAAGGAATTATGAGCAGAATAGTAGGTAGCCAGGTATGTCGTTAAATACATAAATATTAGATATTTGGGTACGTAACTTGGTAGACCTGGTATTCCAATGGAGGAGCTCGCTTTGACATGGTTGCAGGCGCTAGGTCCACCTTACCACCAGGATATTGTCTCCTGGTACATACATGGTGGGGGAGCAGGAGCGGTAAAGTAAAGTGGTAACACTGTAGGAAGTTGGCTATGTGACTTTCTAAAGGCATTTGTCGCCTCGTGGTATTATTTTACATCCGCTGCCAATGAAGGGAACCCCGCGTTGCCGATCATTTTGGAGGGGCAAGGCGGCGCGTGTAGCGCTAGAAATCGGGCATAAGCCGCCTCCGTTGGTTGCCCTGGCACCAACGCTAACCCTATTCTCCGTATTTATTCAGGACAAAGCTTAGCTCCCTAGTTCTCTAGCGTAGCGTCACGTCGCGCCGTGTCGTACGTATCGTTCTCTCAAATCTCTAAATCCCATTCTCAATTAATCCTCCTACATTTCCCACTTCCTGGTTCACCATGGCAGATCAGAACCAGTCGGAAATTATCAAAAATAATCCCATCGGTGAAGGCCTCAAGGTTTTCCTTACGTCATTTCGTCTTATCTGCGAGAGCAAAGGCATCCTTTGCTCCGGAGAGGCCTTTGGTCAACTTAACAATGAAGGTAAAATAGCTTCACTTTAATGCAGTATTTTCT